CATTCATTCATTCATGAAGATGTTTCTCCTGTTGAAGAGACAAAAAGACATTAAAACACATCAATCTTAATTTCCCCTTTCTTTTGTTTTTTTTTTAAACATACCCTAGCACATAAAAAATACTGAGTAAGAAACAGTGAAAGGTCATGGATTTATCAAACATTAAACTGCAACTCATGCCGCAGGTCAGAAGGTCGCTGGTTCGATCCCCGGATATTCTTGCACAACCCTCAACTTAATATAATCGTGTAATTTCTGAACTCCCAACAACTGGCAATTTGTACAAATCTGTTTAAATATTTTTCTTAACTCAGTTTTGCTCTACTCTCAGAGCATCAAGACAAGGAAAAGGTTTTCTCACTGTTCTCCTCGGCAGCGTGACCTTGTGGGTGGATTTTAGCTACACACATGTGGACACATGATGAAAATAAAGACTAAACACCGTAAATAATCCACTGACTTCCACTCACGAGTCCGTGCAACCAGCACCAACTGCCTGCACTCTGTAAGTGTTGATTCTTACCATATTTCTGACTGTAGGAGGACTGAGAGACGACGTGAAGACCCGACACAGCCGCGGCGCGTGAATGATCCTCTGAGGAAGAAGGAGGCAAGGTTCCACGTGAGGAAAAAAATCCAGAGTGCGCATGCGCACTGCGTCCACGTGCCTCAAAGAAAGTTCTAGTACACCGGAGAAAAATCCAAAAATCGCTTTTGTAAACATTTACTTTATTAATCCAGATTAAAATGCGTTAAAGTTATATTTAAAACGGGTTTTAATTTTATTCATGTCAAATAAAGCAATCGGAGACTGAGCAATATTACACAATTTCCACTTTGACCTTTCTTTTTTTCTCCAATGGCGAGCCAGAAAATTCTGGAACCGTCCGCCCGGGAACGAGCATGGACATCTGGTTTAATACTTAATTTGAATGAATGTGCTATAAACAATTCAGTAATGACTTAAAATATAATGTATGGGATAAAACTCAAATGTAATTAAAGAACGTGAGCACAGGTTATTAGACAGTTCACCACAGAACGCTAAGCTTTCTGAAAAAAGAGATTTATGCATGGTCCGGGGCGTGCCGGTAAATAACCCGGATGAAGGAAACCATGTGCAGTTCAGTCTCTGCTGCTCCACACGGCTGTCCTCTYGTCCTGTCTTCAGTCTGTCTAAACGAAGCTTTAGGCTTTTACCTTCCTTCCAGGTAAACACGAGTATTTTATTTTAAGTCTCCAGACTTTCACGCGGTGTTATATCAGGTAGGTTGTTTTCCACCTGCGCGGTTTATAGTTTCTCTCACATTTTGTTTAAAGCTAGTTSAGTGTTGGGAGGAGGTAATGTGCCTCTCTCAGGCTACAAGGACATGCTAGTCAAAGTGTCTTCTACCGCGTGTGTTTTACGGTTGTCACGAGCGTCACGTTAACTCTAGTTAGCCTTGTAGAGGAAACGCTTTGGCGCATATTAGTATACACTTTAAAAAAAAGGTGCAGAAGATAGAGGGAGCTATGCACGTGCTTCCTTGCTTCCTTTGACCTTGTGACGCTCGCGTCCGGACAGCACGTGGAAGCAGCTAAGATCTGTTCTCTTCACAAGTTTAATATTTATTTTAAATCATAGCCAGAATTTAAACCGAATTACTAATTAACAAGACTCCAGAGAAATTTTAACAAGAAGCTAACATGTGTGAACATGATTATAATCTCGAGAAATTCCTCATCAAACTCTTAACTATTATAAAACAGTAGTGTGTACAACTCACTGGTCTGAAAAGTGACTTTAAAATGTTTGGAATAGATAAATAGATTATTCTCTGACCCTTGAAATTTCAATGACTGAATAATTTAAAACATTCAAAGTGAAGTTGGTTCAACACACAACATAGTTGATGTTGATTTTTGTTTTACTGCACTTAACTACAAACTTAAGTTATTCACATAATAAGAATGCCCAAAAATAGTTGGATTCAGAATAGGGTTGGGCGATATTGGCAAAAAAAATTAATCACGATTAATTGTGGTATTTAGCCGATAACGATTAATTTGACGATTAATCCCCTGGACACCCTTATGTCCTGGTCACATGACCAATTTAGGGGAAAGATTTTCTTTTTATAAAAATCTGTTCCAAATTGTGTCAAAATTACAGACTTCAGGCTATACATCAAATTTTAAATTGTGTTGGTAGATAAATTACAGAACTTTTATTTAATGTTTGTCATATTTGAAGCGGAGAGGAGCATCGAGCGGACTCTGCCTGGTGGCGTTAATCGTATTAATGGTCAAGTGCCAAAAAATAATCGATCAATGTTTTTCTGGCGATTAATTGCACACGATATGATTATGCCTAATTCAGAAACATTTGTAAAAGTTATAGCTTACTAGGTGTTGAACACTGACTAACTTCTCTGAAGTAGCTGAAACTATTTCTAAAGCTAAAAGAAGCAGAAACACTAGCTTAAAGTTAAAATGGGCAAAACATTAACTAAAACCTAAAWGAAGCAAGGGACTAGCTAAAGCCAAAAGYAGCTAAAGCTAATAGCAAAAAGTTATCTAAAAGCCAATAGTGGCCAAAAACTCAAATAGTAAGAAAGCCAACTGACAAAATGGTTCCAGTGCATCGCTTCAGTTATCAGTGTAGATGTTGAACATTGTACTAAATTCACAAATGGAATTGGAAAACTTGTAACTAAAATCATAAAAGTTTCTGTTTGACACTTTTTTTTTCTTTTCAGAAAAACTAATTCATGAGTTGTCTACCTTTCTGAAGGTCATCCTTCAGCCGGCTCACATGAGATGTCAAATACCTTTGAGGTAATGACGCTGAGTTTCCTGCTCTGAACAGATTCTTTGTGTGTTTCCTTCCAGAGATGTTTCGTTTACCCAGCATCATGAAGCAGGTGAGGCCTGTGAGCCGAGCGCTGGCTCCTCACCTCACAAGAGCCTACGCTAAGGATGTAAAGTTTGGGGCTGACGCTCGAGCCCTCATGCTGCAGGGAGTGGACCTGYTGGCGGATGCTGTGGCTGTCACTATGGGCCCAAAGGTAACACACGAGAGCCTGCTCGACAGAGACATTTGCTAAAGTCGGGTTGCGAACTTGTTTTTTTTYYYCCCCTCATTTCAACTCAACTCCGCCCTCCAAACTTCCAGGGACGCACAGTGATCATCGAGCAGAGCTGGGGCAGCCCCAAGGTCACAAAAGATGGAGTGACGGTGGCCAAAAGCATCGAACTGAAGGACCGCTACAAGAACATCGGCGCCAAGCTGGTGCAGGACGTGGCGAACAACACCAACGAAGAAGCCGGCGACGGCACAACCACCGCCACGGTGCTGGCCCGCGCCATCGCCAAGGAAGGCTTCGACAACATCAGCAAAGGTGCGAACCCCGTGGAGATACGCCGCGGCGTCATGATGGCTGTGGAAACGGTCATCAGCGAGCTGAAGAAGCTCTCGAAGCCCGTCACGACCCCAGAGGAGATTGCGCAGGTATGGGCAGGGCTGGGTTTACTGGTTTCTGCTGCCCCCTGTAGTGTCTCTGATGGTTGTGTGTTAAATTCTGTGGTTTCAGGTTGCTACGATCTCAGCCAATGGAGATGTAGACATCGGTAACATCATATCCAATGCCATGAAGAAAGTTGGCCGCAAAGGAGTCATCACTGTCAAGGTTTGTCAGAGCAACAAAATCTTAATTTATTGCTTTACCCAAAACCATCAGAACTAAGAGCTGAACGTGTCTTTGGTTTCAGGATGGGAAGACTTTACAAGACGAGCTTGAGGTGATTGAAGGCATGAAGTTCGACCGTGGTTACATTTCACCGTACTTCATCAACACTGCAAAAGGTAGGGCTTTGTTCACATGTTGTCTTTGTCAGTTTTATTCTGGTGCCAAGTTATATTTTCTGTCCCTCAGGTCAGAAGTGTGAGTTCCAGGATGCGTATGTGTTGCTGAGTGAGAAGAAGATCTCCAGTGTTCAGAGCATCGTGCCGGCTCTGGAACTCGCCAACCAGCACCGCAAACCGCTCGTTATTGTAGCTGAGGATGTGGACGGAGAAGCCCTGAGCACCCTGGTTCTTAACAGGCTGAAAGTCGGGCTTCAGGTGGTCGCTGTCAAAGCTCCAGGCTTCGGTGACAACCGGAAGAATCAGCTGAAAGACATGGCCATCGCCACTGGTGGCACGGTTGGTTCAGTTTTCAACCTCAGAACAGTTTTCACTCTTATCTTCTATCATTTGACGTCTTTTTGTTTTCTTTTGTAGGTGTTCGGGGATGAAGCTCTGGGTCTGGCTCTCGAGGACATTCAGGCTCACGATTTTGGCAAAGTCGGTGAGGTGCAAATCACCAAAGATGACACCCTGCTGCTGAAAGGAGGTGGCAACCCTGCTGACCTGGAGAAACGAGCAGCAGAGATTGCGGAACAGCTGGAGAACACCACCAGCGACTACGAGAAGGAGAAACTCAACGAGAGGCTGGCCAAGCTGTCRGACGGCGTCGCTGTGCTGAAGGTCCGACTCGCTGCTGCTCGCTGACAGATCCCCTGCAGGAACTGCGACATTTGTTGTGACACTTCTCTTGCTTCACAGGTTGGAGGAACAAGTGATGTCGAGGTGAACGAGAAGAAGGACCGTGTGACGGACGCCCTGAACGCCACGCGAGCAGCTGTGGAAGAGGGCATTGTGCTTGGAGGAGGCTGTGCTCTGCTGCGCTGCATCCCCTCGCTCGACACCATCAAAACTGCCAACACTGACCAGAAAATCGGTGAGTTTCAGATCATGCAGCCTCTCCAGGGGACTCTTGTAGAAAGACTTGTTGGGTTTTCTACTGAAACATGTATGCATGTTGAAAATGAGAACAGCATATGCTATGCTAGGCTAGGTTTGGGCAAAATCATATTTTATACAATTGGTAGAAAAACTGTCAATATTTGCCACCCTGTAAGTGATAATGTGTCTAACACATAAATGCATCATCATGTGACATTAATTGCAGACGTGCATATGAGCCCATCAGCAGAAGGCAGCAGAGAGCAGTTCATGCTAACCCTACAAACCTCTTTAATCACATGAAACAGACATAAACTGAAGTATGAGGAAAGCAAGAAAATGCAGACCAAGTGCACTTGTCATCTATTAATCATCATATTATCAGCTTAAAGCTGCAGTTAGTTGTGATAATTTTCTTGCCTATATTGCCTAACCCTAGCATATGCCCAAAAAGCTCAGATGTGTGAAACTGAATGAATCCAAACCCATTTAAAGTGTACATCTTTAGCATTAGCCCCGACGCTATCACCATATATATGTATTAGCTCAGCGCTACACATTCTCCTCTCGTCACTGAGGTCCTCCATCCACAAAACAGAGAGGAATGCAAAAATGACTCAGCCTGTAACTGAAAATATGGATGGAGGACCTCAGTTTAGCTTGTTTGTCGCGCAATATAGCGTGAGGGCTAGCGCAAAAGCTAACAGGCTAAGCTGAGGTTCTTCTTCCATGAAGCAGCTCTGTTGTCCTCCATCCATATTTTCAGTTCCAGGCTGAGTCATTTCTTTTCTACCTTCTCCTCTCTGTCAACGCTCTCTGGTTTCATTTAAAAGAGTCGATCATCAGATATTGTTCAAGATTAACCTTCAGGGTGGATATAGCTCGCTAGCAGCCTCACACGGATGACCTACCCACGTCATCATTTACCCAGAATGCTTTGTGTGTAAATAAAATGGCTCCGTCCGTGTTAATATATTTAAAAAAATTTACAAAACTAAGCAGCCTACAGTATTTTTAGTCTTTACAGTTAAATATATGTTTATTAAATAAAAGTCTTATGTTACAACTAATCGGGGATTCCTTTTAAAGCTGAAGTTTTGTGAAATAGAAAACAGCAAACACGAGGGTCTTTTTGCTTTTAGAAATCTGAACACTTGTTTGTTTTCTGCTCAGGTGTGGACATCATCAGACGATCACTCCGTATTCCTGCCATGACTATTGCGAAGAACGCCGGCGTGGAGGGCTCTCTGGTAGTGGAGAAGATCCTGCAGGGGCCACCTGAGATCGGCTACGATGCCATGCAGGGAGAGTTCGTTAACCTGGTGGAGAAGGGCATCATCGACCCCACCAAGGTAGAGTCCAGACAACCTAATGAGCAGCAGCTGTTTGAAGTGCAGAAAGTGAAGTAAAACAGAGGAGCTAACATCTTCTGCTTCCACTGCAGGTGGTGAGGACGGCACTCTTGGATGCTGCAGGAGTCGCATCTTTGCTGTCCACTGCAGAGGCTGTGGTCACTGAGATACCCAAGGAGGAGAAGGAGATGCCAGGAGGAATGGGCGGCATGGGAGGAATGGGTGGAATGGGAGGCGGCATGGGTTTCTGAGCCAGTCTCCCTGACTTTGTACAGACTGAGTTATCAGATTGGAGTTGGAGGAGCAGAATCCCCTCTCTTTAAACGACTGTAATTATGTTGGAGTTTCAAATGGCTCAAAGAACTGAGAGCCAAGCAGGAGTCCTCAGTTTTCCACAGTGGCACAAAACCCATCATGTGCACTGCTCAGAGAGATGAGATGGTTCACCTGAAAGGAAGTCTGGTTTGTTTCACCCTGGTGTTTTTAGTGCTGATATTCTGCTTTCATYAGTTCTACAGGAAACGCTAACATGAAACTTTATTTGCTGCATGTCTGATATYCACTTTCTAAATCAAAACTAGAAGAAAGCTGCACAGAGCCCCGAGTCAGAATCAACACCGAACACTAAAATCAACCAGGTGGAAATAAACTATAATAACCTTTAGTGGACCACAGAGAGCAAGCTTCAGTGTCAATGTTTGTGTTTGTAGTATTCAGTTAATTCTTTTTTTAATATACATGTTTGTCATCAGTGATTTGAATTAAACCAGTTTTCTTACAGACTGAGCATTTTTATTACATGTGAACAGAGTGTCTAAACAAATGACGAGGCCTGTTCAGCCTGAATGTTTACMGAGTCATTTTTCTTCATCGTGCTCCAGATGATTTTGTTAGTGGGACGAGGAGGAAGGGTTCATGTTTCTGTATGACCTTTGTGAGCAGCTTACACTGTAATACATCAAGCAGGCAGTAGATGGTGTCTGTGTTGCAGTGAACACTTCACTTATAGACATTGATTTTTTTTTTTATTTTGTGTAATAAATCCATTTCTCTACATTCAAGTTAATTTTAGTCTTGTCATTTTCAACAATTCAATTTTAATTGTTTAAATTACGCCTTGATTCTGCAAATTTTAAATAATTCTACAAAAAGAACCTGAAGCCTTTCATGTCTTAGACTAGGATCAAATGAGAATTTTAGGTCAATGCTCAAACTGACAGCTACTGCATTTTTCAGTTCATCCAGTAAGTTAGGATACAACAGGAATTCAATAATTTTGACTAAGATATTTTGCTGACAGGCAAAAACATCACCTGCCTATTTGTGATGTGTGGTTAAAAAAAACTTAAATGATTGGAAAATCTAGAATCTGAGAAAACTGCAGCTCGTGGCAGGAATGACAAGTATCCAAGATATTCTCAATATTTTGGTCCATTCCTCTAYATTCACACAGTTCAAGGGTTTGCACAAACTAATTTAAGACCAAGACTGAAACTCATGTAATGTAGTCCTTTTTCATTAAAATTCTAGAAATATTTAGGCATTATATAACAGTGTTTTAGAAGAATAATGTAGCTGTTGTTACAAATTTAGTGTCAATAAGTGTTATTATATTTTAGGAAAATTATTGGTGTACATTATGGCCTATAATGTATTTTAACCTATCAAAAATGGTACTGAAACAGAAGCACCTCCACTTGTGGAGTGCAGGATGAGCCACTGGCCTGCACTGAACAATTCACATAAAAGGAGATTGAGTAGTAGATGTCAGCTTGGTGAATAAATGCACATCCCATCTGTGCAAAAGTCAAAATCATTGTACAAAATCAATATTTATAGTATGAATGGTAACACTGGATGCTATTAGTACCATGTACACTAAATACAGCAGTGTGGTTTGAAGAGAGACGACCCCTGGTATGTTTGAGGACATGTAGCACCTACCAAGATGGCGGCAAAGACGCGGGCCTTGTTAGCATAGACTACACTATGACTAATTTAGTTGTTCTGTTTCAGTGGGTTTACTGRCATTTTTCCCAGCTCTTTTAAGCATGCTTTTGTAGAACCTCTCCTCAAAAAACCTAATTTGGACCCTACTGTGTTMAATAATTTCRGACCTATTTCTAAACTTCCGTTTTTGTCCAAACTTTTAGAGAAGGTGGTTTCTGAMCAATTTATTGCATTTTTAGAAAGCTCAGACGTTTGACCATTTTCACTCTGGTTTTCGTAAGCATCATTCCACATAAGCTGCCCTGATCAAAGTGTCAAGTGACATTATTGATGTCTGCGGATGCTGGGAAATGCACTGTTTTGGTCCTGTTGGATCTTTCTTTGGCTTATGACACTGTCGTTCACAAAACTTTGTTGAGAAGTCTCAGTAAGCTGATTGGTCTGTCAGGTTCTGCACTAGCTTGGTTCTCGTCTTATTTGTCTGGTAGGAGTTTTAGTGTCTCGGTTAATCAGTTCCGCTCTGATTCTTCTGATTTGTTGTGTGGAGTGCCCCAGGGTTCAGTATTGGGATCTGTTTTATTTTTGTTATATGTCCTTCCACTGGGAAATATCGCTCAGGTCATGAGTTTGATGATGTTTCTTATCATCTTTTTGCAGATGATATCCARCTATATTCCTTCAAGTCCACTGAGATTCATAAACTGGACTCTTTAAGGAACTGCCTAAACACTGGCTTGGCGCTAATTCTTTGCAGTTAAATTCTGATACGACTAAGGTGCTGATGATTGTCCCTGATGTTGTTCCAAGAACCTACCAGTATCTGGGTGATCTGAGCTCATCTGTCAAATCTAACCTTAGAAATCTTGGTGTGATTTTTGACAGAGGGATGTCACTAGAACACTATTCCAAACAACTCACTAGAAACTGATTATTTTCAGCTTAGAAATATTTCCAAACTTAAAACAGTTGTTTCCAAAGATGATTTAGAGTTGATCATTCATGCTTTTGTGTCCTCACGTCTAATTATTGTAATAGCCCTTTTTTCTGTTTTAATAAGGAGTTGTCTCGTTTACAGCTGGTCCAAAATGCAGCAGCGAGGGTGATGACCCGCACCAACAGAAGGGTTCATATTACCCCGATTCTAAAATCTCTCCATTGGCTCCCAGTGGTTTTTCATTTTAACTTTAAAATCCTGGTACTAACGTTTAAAGCTCTCCATGGTCAGGCTCCCTTATAYATTAAAACCCTGTTGTGTCCATATTTACCCTCTCGAGGGCTGAGGTCTTCAGATCAGAGCCTTTTAACGGTCCCCTAGTGAACGGTGATCGCTCCTTCCAGGCCGTCGCTCCAAGGCTCTGGAATGATCTTCCGCTCTCAATATGTGCACTTGATTCTGGGGCCGCTTTTAAGAGCAAACTTAAAACTTTCCTTTTTTATAAAGCTTTTTAACAATTCCAGTGTGTTATGTTTCTTAGCTATTGTTTTATGATGTTGATGTTTTTATTGTTTTATCTTTTCTGTATAATTTTTGCACCTTTGTGAAGTACTTTGTCACCGTCTATGTCTGTGAAAGGTGCTATATAAATAAACTTTTACTTACTTATTTTACTTACATTATGTATGGCTGTTAGAATCAAATATCCCATTTAAAACATCATTTCATACAATACATCTTTTGGTCAGAAGGGGGCACTACTGAGTTTTTAAAGTTTTAAGGGAAAAAACAATCTTTTTTCATCAGGAGCTGCTGAAACGGTCCAGTGCTTCATGGTGTTTTATGTGGCCAAGTAAACATCTGATTACACATCAGGTCAGAGGCCAAAGAGATAAAAGCTTCAGCTGCTCTCTTCCTCTGGTGGGAATATTGTCAGACACAGCCGAAGCTAAGCTGTGTGAAGAATGAAACGGAACTCTGGTTGTTGTTTTTTTTTTAGAAAAAATAGTTTATATATCATGCAGCTGGAACGTCACTCAACATAAAACATCATTTACACACACAGTCCTGTCCACATCCCAGAAAACACTGACATGAAACATTTTATTATCTCTAAAAGCAGAGTACAGCATTTTTAGATGTAACAACAAAACTAATATTTACACACTAACACACAAAACTGCCTGAGTTAACATTTACAATCAGTCATGAAAAGGAAGTTAAACTGGTGAAGAAAAACTGTAGCTCTGTAAAACAATAATAAATAAAGCAGAWGAGTAAAAACTACATTGTTTCAATTTGTGATGAAATGTTTGGTATTCTGCTTGTAAATGTTAACTAGCTGCTTCTAGTGTAAAGAGCTGCAATTTACACTTTAACTAAAAAATAAATACAACAAAGGGAGTATAATGTTCCATTAAAACTAAAGATAAATATGCTGGCAGCAGGCCTGGAGGCACCAAGCGGGTCAAACAGGTGACATTTTGGACAGTTTCAGATTGTAGTGGAAAGCCTGTCGAGACTGATGGGAGATCTGGGCCCTTGTTTATCAAACTGCTAGATTAAAAATAAATCGATATCAGACCTTAGGTATCAGATAAACAACTACCTGAAGGCCCTGTCACACTGACATTTTAGACAAATTATGCCAATTAATTAAACACTTAAGACATCTACGTTGAAGATGGAATTTAAAAAAACTACTTTAAGCCTATTTTAGGTGTGTACATACAGTAACGTACAGTACATACTGTAACGTACTGTAACATACAGTAACGTACTGTAACGTACAGTAACATGTACATACTGTAACGTACAGTAACGTACTGTAACGTATAGTAACATGTACATACTGTAACGTATAGTAACATACTGTAACGTACAGTAACATGTACATACTGTAATGTACAGTACATTCTGTAACGTACTGTAATGTACAGTAACGTACAGTACGTACAGTAACGTAAAGTACGTACAGTACATACTGTAACGCACAATACATACTGTAACGTGTACATACTGTAACGTACAGTATATACTGTAACGTGTACATACTGTAACATACAGGACATACTGTAACGTGCAGGACATACTGTAACGTGCAGGACATACTGTAACGTACAGGACATACTGTAACGTGCAGGACATACTGTAACGTACAGGACATACTGTAACGTGCAGG